AACACAATGAAGGGCTTCCCTGGTGGTGCAGTGGTTGAGAGTCTGCCTGTCGATGCAGGGGACACGGGTTCGTGACCCGGTCCGGGAGGATCCCATGTGCCGCGGAGCAGCTGGACCCATGGGCCATGGCCGCTGGGCCTCTGCGTCCGGAGCCTGTGCTCCGCAACCGGAGAGGCCCGCGAACCGCAAAAAAAAAAACAAACCAAAAAAACAAACCACAATGAAATATACTTCATACACACTTAAACTTAAACTTTCTAAGTTTCTCCTTTTAGATCAACACTGTCCAATAGAAATATGCCAGCCCCAGATGCAATTTAAAATTTTCTACTAACTACATTAAAGCAAAAACAGGTGAATTAATTTTAATAATGTTGTATTTAACCCAATATATCTAAAATGTCATTTTCTTTCTTTTTTTTTTTTTCTTGCATTATGCGGGCCTCTCACTGTTGTGGCCTCTCCCATTTGCGGAGCACAGGCTCCGGACGCGCAGGCTCAGTGGCCATGGCTCACGGGCCCAGCCGCTCCGCGGCATGTGGGATCTTCCCGAAACGGGGCACGAACCCGCGTCTCCTGCATCGGCAGGCGGACTCTCAAGCACTGTGCCACCAGGGAAGCCCTAAAATGTCATCTTAATAAGTAACCAATAGGAGACTGGTTCAAGATGGCAGAGTAGAAGGATGTGTTCTCACTCCCTCCTGCAAGAGCACTGGAATCACAACTAACTGCTGAACAATCATCGACAGGAAGACACAGGAACGCACCAAAAAAGATACCCCACATACAAAGACAAAGGAGAAGCCACAGTGAGATGGTAGGAGGGACGCAATCAAAATAAAATCAGGGGCTTCCCTGGCGGCACAGTGGTTAGGAACCCACCTGCCAAGGCAGGGGACACGGGTTCAAGCCCTGGTGCGGGAAGATTCCACATGCTGCGGAGCAACTATGCCCGTGCGCCACAACTACTGAGCCTGAGCTGTAGAGCCCGCGAGCCACAACTGCAGAGCCCGTGCACCTAGAGCCTGTGCTCTGCGACGAGAGGCCACTGCAATGAGAAACCTGCGCACCACAATGAAGAGTAGCTCCCTGCCCACCGCAACTAGAGAGAGCCCATGTGCAGCAAGGAAGACCCAATGGAGCCAAAAATAAAAATAAATATACAAAATAAAATCAAATCCCATAATTGCTGGGTGGCTGACTCACAAACTGGAGAACACAGATACCACAGAAGTCCACCCACTGGAGTGAAGGTTCTGAGCCCCACGTCAGGCTTCCCAACCTGTGAGTATAGCAACAGGAGGAGGAATTCCCAGAGAATCAGACTTTGAAGGCAAGCGGGATCTCATTACAGGACTTCGACAGGAATGGGAGAAACAGAGACTCCACTCTTGGAGGGCACACACAAAGTAGTGTGCACATCAGGACCCAGAGGAAGGAGCAGTGACCCCAGGGGAGACTGAACCAGACCAACCTGCTAGTGTTGGAGGGTCTCCTGCAGCGGCAGGGGGGTGGCTCTGTCTATCCGTGAGGACAAGGAACCTGGCAGCAGAAGTTCTGGGAAGTACTCCTTGGTGTGAGTCCTCCCAGAGTCCGACATTAGCCCCACCAAAGAGCCCAGGTAGGCTCCAGGGTCGGGGTGCCTCAGGCCAAACAACCAACAGGGAGGGAACCCAGCCCCACCCATCAGCAGACAAGTGGATTAAAGTTTTACTGAGCTCTGCCTACCAGAGCAACAGCCAGCTCTACCCACCACCAGTCCCTCCCATCAGGAAACTTGCACAAGCCTCTAAGATACCCTCATCCACCAGAGGGCAGACAGCAGAAGCAAGAAGAACTACAGTCCTGCAGCCTGTGGAACAAAAACCACATTCACAGAAAGATAAGACAAGATGAAAAGGCAGAGGGCTATGTACCAGATGAAGGAACAAGACAAAACCTCAGAAAAACAACTAAATGAAGTAGAGATAGGCAACCTTCCAGAAAAAGAATTCAGAATAATGACAGTATGATCCAGGACCTTGGAAACAGAATGGAAGCAAAGACTGAGAAGATGCAAGAAATGTTTAACAAAGACCTAGAAGAATTAAAGAACGAACAAACAAACAGAGATGAAAAATACAATAATTGAAATGAAAACTACACTAGAAGGAATCAATAGCAGAATAACAGAGGCAGAAGAACAGATAAGTGACCTGAAGACAGAATGGTGGAATTCACTGCTGCGGAACAGAATAAAGAAAAAAGAATGAAAAGAAATGAAGACAGCCTAAGAGACCTCTGCGACAATATTAAATGCAACAATATTCGCATAATAGGGGTCCCAGAAGGAGAAGAGACAGAGAAAGGACCAGAGAAAATATTTAAAGAGATTATAGTCGAAAACTTCCCTAACATGGGAAAGGAAATAGTCACCCAAGTATAGGAAGCGAAGAGATTCCCATACAGGATAAACCCAAGGAGAAACATGCTGAGACACACAGTAATCAAACTGGCAAAAATTAAAGACAAAGAAAAAATTATTGAAAGCAGCAAGGAAAAAACGACAAATAACATATAAGGGAACTCCCATAAGGTTAACAGCTGATTTCTCAGCAGAAACTCTACAAGCCAGAAAGGAGTGGCATGACATATTTAAAGTGATGAAAGGGAAGAACCTACAACCAAGATTACTCTACCCAGCAAGGATCTCATTCAGATTCGATGGAGAAATCAAAAGCTTTACAGACAACCAAAAGCTAAGAGAATTCAGCACCACCAAACTAGCTCTACAACAAACACTAAAGAAACTTCTCTAAGTGGGAAACACAAGAGAAGTAAAGGACCTACAAAAACAAACGCAAAACAATTAAGAAAATGGTCATAGGAACATACA